TGATCATTTGCACATGCTAATGATGACAGATACTTGAATACTTAATTTGATACGTTTAAAAATCCAAAAATTTACTTCAAACAGAAAAGAAAGAAAATATATAAAATATGTTAAATCAGATATTAAAAAAAAATCATTTAATTACAAAAAAAAAACTAAAGAAACGTGTTAAATACATATACCTGTTGAGAAAAATAATTAAATGTTTTAATATATGTTTCATTATATTATTAGAATTATAAAATATCCATCAACAAATTTTTAAATTTTAATTTCAGATTAATAATTTACAAATATTAATTATATCGCGAACTTTATAGGAAATATTTTATTATAATATAGATTTCGTATCGTTAAATTATATATAAAGTAAAAAGCAAATTAATTTCTTTTGTGCAGAAATATTAAAATTTAGGAAAGTATTTTATACAATCTTATTGTTTAAACTCGTACTTCCTACAAATGTGCCGTTCCGAAGCACGTGCCGTGCATCACTCGTGCAATGAGATATGCCAGAGTGATGCACAGAGTCATCTCATCATCAGAATGAGGTGTACGAGGGGCGAGGGAAAGGCACGCGTCACGTCGCGATCTACGGCGAGGCTTCTACGGCGCGGAAAGGAATCGCAGGACAATGCCGAGAGGCTGCTGTCAGGACGGACAAAGGCGCTTATCTTTTTGCATACACCACACATAACGCAGTCGCGTTCCCCGCTTGGCTTCACCCATTCTACGAGAATTATATCGTCCGCTAAATGGGAGCGTATGTTTTCGCTCTAAAAGATATAACCGAAAGTGAGACCAATGGGTGACTGTGACATCAGAACGAATGTGTAACATATCGTTGTATTTCAAAATAATAAAAAAAGAAAAAAAAGGAATAAAATAAATAAAAGAAATTGATGTCGACAAAATTATTAAAGATTCTACATGATTATTTACATCATACATAACGATAAAAGAATATTATAAAAAGATAATTCTTGTTATTATATAAAATAGCCAGAAATAAATATTAATAAATAATTTTTACATCAATAGATTTAACAGAAATCATCATTACTTTTGAATTCGATTGTGACACACACATCCACACACACACACACGCACACACACACACACCCACACCCACACCCACACCCACACACACCCCGTATGATTTATTACAAATGATTTTGATTCACAAAAAATATTATTCCCTTTCAAACTATTATCTGAATAATATAGCTATATTCGATGTGTTTATCTTTAAATATATTTAGACGAGCTTTCTCAATGGTAAAGGAAGAAAGCTTTCGTAAGATACGATATTCACCGTGCGGTAATCGTCGGAATATGCGGACGTCTTTGTTGCAGGTTCTATAGGATTTTCCTCGGCGATAGCAATGAGGGTTGTGGGAGGATCTCGGCAGAGTATATTGAATTTCCGAAAAGCGCGTCGGGTTTCAAGCGGATGATATGCGCGGCCTCGATTATGTCGAAGCGAGTTAGGCGAAGGGGTCTGCATAGCCTCAGGCGCATTTCTAGAGCGCATTATGACAAACAATATCTTGTATAGCATGTGGCACCACCTGAAGCTCTTTCTTAAATACTGAAAAAAGAGTCAAGCATTTCTAATAAGAAAGCACGCAAGTATTCTTTCTATTTTGATAAGATTTTGATAAGATTTGTTGTAAATTAAAATAACAACCATTTATTTTTTTACAACTACTTCAACACGTATCGAGGAGAAAATATTCAGCTTTTTAAAGGCATCTTATAAAAAATATTTAAATTTTTGAAAATTTATTTTTTGATATACATTTCTTTGCATTTTTCGCTATTTTTTTTTATCATTGACAACCATTGACCTGTATTAATATTAGATTTCATAATTTTTCTGCTTCATACACAATTTTTAACTTCCTCGATGAGGCTGCGAATGTTTGAGAAAATCAGCATGAAATAATCGAGCGACTAACCGTGCTTTAATTTGATCACGGTTAAAGCGGTCCATGACACGCTGAGTAATTGGAAGCGCCTCTGAAATTAACCTCCGTGAATTTTGCCTAATTAGAGGCCATAGTTAGACCGCATGGCAGTCGTGTCAACTCGTGACTCATTCTCTTGATGTATGTGGATAGCGCGAACAAGTCGCCAAAAGTGAAAACTTTCATCATCAAATCATAAATTTTGAAGAAGTGAAGAGGTGAATTTTGAAGATTGATGATTCAAAGAATAGCTACTTTCAAAAAATTATATTCTTTGAAAAAAGTGCGAGAAAAAAAGTACGAAATTTGATGGTGACATAAAGCTTGGATAGACTGGATTTGATCGGAATGTTAGTCATCATGTGGTCGTTAATGACATAATAAGTAACAGGCAACAAGTTCGAATGGCGTAAAAGATTAAAAGTACATGTATGTGATCGACATGAGGAAAGTGCATTCCACCTACGCTTCGTTCTCGTGTTTCTCTAATGGATTCGGCTGTAGCAACTTGAAATCTTAATTTGAATATACTCAGGCTAGAGCTTCGCTAATAATAAAGCTCTCTCTCTCTCGGTCGGTGGATATTTCGTTGCAAACACGGAGAGAGCGGTACGGGCGTGGCGAAGCGTAATGAACAAGTCACGACGCGAATCCACTTTGTGTCTTGGACAACGTTTAAACGTTGTCTAAAATAGAAAGTGCCTCTATGCTAAATGCAGCCAGAAAACAGGAAGCTGATCTTTATCATTTGAGAATTATAAGTGAGAGAGAATTAATTTAGATAAATTCAAAAGCCTTTCAAAAGTCATTTTTTTCTAACTTTTAATATTAAATCTTTTTAATTAAATTGAAAAAATATTCTGTTTGATTACATATGATGTGAAATAACCGCAAATGCTTTTTATTTACTTGAGCAATTTTTTGCAGCGAAGAATAACATAGCGTATTAAAGACAGGGAAATGTAAGACTCCGCGAGGGTGACGAGCTTTTCACCGAAAAGCTCGCGAGAAGCTTTCTTGATCAATACTCGGCGCGCGCTTGGCGTCGCCCATGCGGCGTTAATTTATCGTCGCTCTCTTGCGCGAGCGAACGTTCGCACCTTCCTCATCCATATTTCATTCGATAAAAAATGATCTATCCGGCAATCCAGTAAAACTTTCGCGACGCGCGTGTCGCGAATCATACGATACGCAAAGTTCAATCTCGATATTCCGGATATTCTTTTCACGATTTGATTTGTTATCCATCTTTTAAGATCGCAATAACAAGTTTATCCGACATTGGTAAAGATATAATAAGTTACTTTCAATGCGTTACATTATATGAAACATAACATTATTATATATATATATATATATATATATATATATATATATAAAATAATATATTTATATTATAAAGAATTATTAAAATAGAATTTAATTAACTAGTGATCTCAAGGCAATTCAATTTGGTAATCTTAAAAAATTAAGAAGAATTAAAGGAGTTTACCTGTCATGTTCATGACCGTAGGAAGGATTGATCCTGCGAGCATATAGCGATGCGCCGCCCTCGGACATGTATCCATCACACAGATCCGAAAGAGTTCTGCTGCCAACGCTCATACCGCCTCCACGCAATACCTCACCGTCGCTCAGATAACCGGAAGCAACATCCACATCGGCATAGTCATGGTGACCACCGACATGATGATGCGACGACGAATGCAGAACAGTGTATTGTCGGCCTGTGGTGCGACTCGGCAGGGTCTGCAAGCCTCGGGCTCCAGGCGTGTAACCGCGCAGAAGGGGCTGCATGGGTTTCACAGTCATCTCGGCCTCATCGTCTGCCAGAGCACTACCGCATGTTGAGCTTTCCGACAGCACCTTCGTAAAAAAATAAAAACGGACGAAGTACGTTTAGTCAAAAGTACTTGAATAATTTTTAATTTATTATCTTATTTGAATTGTAATACCTGCAAAGATATAATTTTTTTTCTCGATTTCATCCAATAGCAACCAAGAAAAATTCCAAAACACTAACCTTTTCCATTTCAAACGTAGTATCAATCTTCCGATTAGGGATTGTCTTAATTTCGCTGCCGCTCTCGCTGCTCGGTCTATAAATTACGCTACTGTCGCTTGAGTTACTTTGTCCGGTGCTGTTAGAGTTACTGTGAGAACTTTCAGACATGAGATCCGAGATGCTCGGCATTGGCGATACCATCGCAACCGTGTTAGGGTCGAGTTTACGATGAAGAATATCGCCACTTTTCGGTTTCGTTGGTGTAGGCACACCGCTAGCTGTGCTGTTTTCTTTTGATGGTTTTGACGTACCTTTTACAAGAGCGGTAGGTTTTGGAATGCTGGAACCCGGACTAAGCCCGGCTGGATTTGAACCATGAAGAGGACTGTTCGATCCCGCGAGCGGTTTATTAGAACCAAAGTTCAAATTAGTTTGCGCGGGCATACTTGTTAATCCATCTTCAGCATTAGCTGGCTTTTCATCGATTACTGAATCTGTGCGATTGGTTTCAGAATTCTGTTTTTCATTCGAGATGTCAACAGATTCTATTTCTTCCTCACAAATAACCTTCTCTTGATTTGATATTCGTGTCTTTGATGGTGAATCAAAGCTTTCGATGTCCGATTGCTGTTCATGATTAACTTCTAATAAAACTTCTGATTCCTTCTGCTTTGCCGTAAGATCTTTGCCATCTGAGAGATTGGCCTGATTCATGCTTAGAGTGCGATTGAAAGTATCGTTTTCGCGAACGAGTGTCTCTTCTGCGTCGGACGGCTTGATAATACCATTGGTGTTTGCCAAAATGGTTTTTTGTATCATAAAGTCCTTGTTTAAACCATTTGGGAGTGGCTTTGCATTTTGCAGATAAATTTTTGGATCCGCTATCTTGCCTGGAAGCTCCATCTTAGGTCTGGGCGAAAGTTTCGTTGTTGGAAACTCGTTTCTTAGATTCACGTTTTTAGTATCTTGAAGGTTGATCTGTCTGGATGATGTTAGAGCGGAAGGGTTCGGTTTTGGAGGTTGTTGTACTGTTGATTGTTTTACTAATTCCTGAAGAGTAGGTGTTTTCCTGTCATTCGGTAACTTGGTGCCAATAGCTTTTCCAACAATTTTGACATCTTGTTCCACAACTGGATTATAGGGCACGGTCAGTTTTTCCGAGGAGCTCGGCAGACCCTTATTTGTACGCGCAATTTTACTTTGAGTCTTGCTCTGCTCCTTCCTGCCTGCCTTTGGACTGGCTTGTTTTGCCGGTTTAGCCGATTGTAGTTTCGATTTCAATGCACGGCTCTTTGGCGATTCTTGAACTTGAGTCTTGCTCTGATCGCACAAAGAAGTGGAACTGTCTGAATGTTCAGATCGTGCTGAAGAAAATCCAGAAGAACTGGAAGTACGTTTTGAGACTCCCGACGAAGCCTTCCCACGTTCCTGATTTTTATCTTTATTATTGAAAAGTTTGAACTTGTCCAATACCGAATTTTTGTTTGGTTGAGGTGCTGGAACAATGTTTCCAGAATATGGTAAGGCTTGTTGTTGAGACCTCAAACCTCCATTGGGCCGACCCACTGTGGATGCTCGAGGGCTGAAAATTAATTACAAAGATTTAAATTAAGAACGGTAAAAAAATATCTAAAAAATTTTAAGTTTCTTAAAAATTTTAATACTAATCACAAATATATTTTTCTGATTAAAACGTATTAAACATATGAAATAATAATATTAAAAATGTATCATGTATCTGCAATACATAATACACAACTGTAATATAATAAAAATGCATTTTTAATTTAAAAGATCAACATTTTAATTCTACTAGATTAATTTTCATTCTTTGACAATTAGTTCTAAATAATAATTTAATGATCATTAATAATTCTATAATTGCAAAATAAGAATATCTATTTTTTTCAATGTTAATCTTACCTCGGTGTAGTAGCGGTGGGTTGTCGATTTGTATTTTGACTTCTAGGTTGCGGAATGAACGAAAGAACACCTTGAGATGATTGCTGCTGACTCGGACTGGTGCTTCTAGAGCTACTCGCGCTGCCTACGCCGCCGTTTCCATGTTTCACGCCTCCTGAGAAATGTAGAGAATTATTAACACTGAAATATTAATATTAAACAAAACTCTGTAAGTGATCATATATTTATTATAAGGTAATAATATTTTATACGTGATATGAAACGCGTGTTTTACTGAAAACAATAACAATAAATATATAAACAATAACAATAAATTTTTAACAATAACAATAAATATTTAACGTAATCTTAATTTTCTAAATAACAAAGTTTAATATAAATGTTGTATCGCGATAATTGTGAGCATTTACGTGGATATTTTCATGGATAATTCCATAATAACGAGTAAGTAGTAAAATTTGACTATATTCGACTGGAAAATAATTTGTGTATTTTCATTCTGTCCAACAATCCTTCTAATCTTGAGTTTAATATCAAAGAATAGAGAAGTGTGAGTTTATTATCAAAGAATGAAAAATTACAATTAATTTTTTTTTTTATCGTCACAAGTACACATTATTGTTGGGTGACTCTCAATGAGACGATAATAATTGGCCGCATCATTAAGTGTGCACAGTTGTGCAGTTGTTGCAGCAGCTCGTTCGTTGCATATGCGTACGAATGGTGCAATGCACCGGTGCAGCGCACCGTAGACAAAATAAACCGTCCGTGTTTACTGAGAGCGAGAAGATTAATCCGTTACCTCGTACTACCACCCGATTCGCTCTTCCCGAGTAATCGTAGACGTTGTTTCTACCAAATAATCCGCATCGGCACGCAACTTATAGCTCGAGCAAACGACGATATCTCGAAACGTAAATACTCATGATTAATTAGAGAGACTATATACAATGGGTCTTACAAAGATTACCGATTTTGTATTTACCTAAATAAATTAACCTCGAGAAATTTCGAAAATCAATTTTAAAACGAAATCTTAGTGATAATAAAATGATGGTTTCGTAATATTAAAAATCATCGTAATCAAGATTGAAATTAATTCTTGAATTATTTTAATTACAATTAAATATAAAATTTCAAATTTGCTTTTATTTATGTCCTAGATAAACATTTCCCAATAAATATTACATTTAGAAATTTAAAAAACGAGAATGAATTATTCTTCGAGTCTTTAATGATTCGTCATTTCAAGATTATACACGTTGGTTTAACAAACGCAGTCGGTTTTCTTCGTTGACCTACTCGACAGTGATTTGCAGTAGTTACAAGTGCCTAATTCGTCAACTGTCTCAATTGTCCCTGCATGCGTGACACAAATGTGGTTGACACAAGATGGATGGAAGTGCTCGGCAATGCAGAAATCTTGTGATGACCAGTACGATCTTTTATCGCATTTAATGTAATGTGTAATATCTATCATATTTCATATTAATTTATTACTCATTGCGATAATCTTAATTGTTTAATAATAAAAATCATCCCTCAATCCATCATGTATACTAGAAATAAAGCTTAATATATTTTTATTACTTAACTTTAGACTATTATTATTATTATTATTATTAACTCGTGATAAAAATTGAATTGATTTAAATGTTGCAGTAGATACATATATTTAGAAAAATATGTATTTTTACAAAATTTGTAAATTACTAATTAAAAACATATATTAAAAACTTACTAAAGAATTTTATAATAATTTCTATATATGATTACAATTAAATAAAGATTTAGTGAAATTTCACGTTTTGAAATAAAGTTAGAATGTCACTCAGCATTAAACAAAGATATCCGTTTGATTCTCGTCAGCGAGTAAAGATCGAATCTGTGTTCGAAGCGGTCCTATCGAAACCGCCAGTCACGGGGTGTCGTAATAAATTCGATCCTTTTTTTTATCCAATACACAAAGGAGTAAAAGAGACGGACGGTATAGGGGAGTTAAAACGTGACTAGGCATTCGCTCGCCTGTCACAAGAGTGATTCATTGCATAAGACGATCGATCGATCCGTCGCGATATTAGTGACAGGCGTACATTGCAAATTTCCGAAGTAGAATTTGAGACGAATATGCTTTAATTATGATAATCAAGATGATTACAATCTTCATCAAGAAGATTTGAATTAAAAACAATTCTTGAAAGAACTTGTTGCGAGAAGATTCTAGTCAACGGAATGATTTGTGTTCTTTATGAAAAAATAATAGAA